ACAGTTGATTAAGATTAACTTTGAATTACAATTTGCCATTGTGCAGCGGTTTGATTGTTGATGTGCATATCATTTGGTTGATTAAGGGTTGTGTTTTTAATTTAAAAATATTAAGAGCCTCTTTCGAAGCTTCAATGTCTGAAGAAAGATTGCATTATTACATGGCTTCATAATTTTATGTATTGAGAAAACGGCAATGTTGGTTAAGATTGACTTTGATACTGTCATAGATGACTTTGGCACTTTGCATCTAAAAATATTAGAAGAAAATGGTTTTTGTGAACTACAAAGTATTAGTTTTAGGAAGGAGGTTGATCTTATTTAATTTAATGAATTTATTGTTAGTAGTAAATATCTCTTGTTCTACATCTTTCTAATATTAAGGGCCTTTTTTCTAAACATGTCCCGGGTCTTTAAAATGTCAGGACCGGGCCGGATTGACACTTTTGGTACTCGACTTTGATTTTTTTCACTTTTAGGGCTCGGCTATTGCGCTAGAGACACTTTTACTACTCGTCTTTGAAAATTTTCATATTTGTCCTCCGACTTTCATAAAAGTTACACTTTTGGTCCTTCAACTATTATAATAATGACATTTTTAATCTTCACTTATTGTGTCTAAATCGTAATGGAAGGACTAAAATGTCCATTTGAAAATACTTAGAGGACTAAATGTGAGAAACTTTATAGCCGAGGATAAAAAATGTCCCTAGCACAATAGTTGAGAACTAAAATTGGAAAAGATAAAAATCAATTACCAAAAGCGTCAATCACACAATAATCGGGATACAGAAAATGGCAAAAACTCTTAAATAAATACGAGTAATCCTCTTATCCCACTATACCACCAAAAATGTAACCCGCCTATTGTTGTAAGAGATGTTTTGTATTGGTAATATAAATGTATGCATAAATAAGAAAATAAAAGACTCTTTTTATACACAAAGAATATTTCAATCTGAAGGAAAAAACAATATAACATCTTCTGTTTTTATTCCAAAATAGGACCATATTACTCCTATTGGAAAAATACCTATTTTTTCATTCCATATTTACCCCTCCTTTAAATATGAGTAAAATGTAGTCGAAAGAGATAATTAAATGTTTTAATTCATAATAAATTCGTAAAAAAATAATAAAAATCATAGAAAAATAGTAAATACTTAATAAAATATTTATAAAATAAAAATTGAAAAAAATAAATTCATTTTTTTAAAAAAATAAAAAATAGTAAAATTCCACAAAAAATAAAAAATATGGATGCCTTTCCCACCGCCTGTACTGCCTTCCCTGCACCACCACCACCGATTGTCATTTTTTCCTAAAAAAAATGCCATTTTTATGAAAATGCCAAAAAAATGGCACATTACCCTTTGAGAATGCCAAAATTTTCATTGAATCTGCCATAAATATGGCATTCCTAATGCATGTGGCATTTTTCCCCGGTGACTAGAGGGGTGATTTTTTTTGCGGTTTTGATTTTTTTAATTTTTTTAATTATTATTTTTTTAACATTTTTATTAATTATATAGTATTTTTACGAATTATTATTTATTTATTATGAATTAAACCATTTCAATAGCTACAGGGGTATATTTGTCCAAAACATAAATAATTAGTCCTATGAGACAAATTATTTTTTGGTCCTATTTGTGCAAATTGACCGGATTTTAGTCCTAGATGCATAATTAACTCATGGCAATTTTGGTATTCCTTGACGCACTTATGAATATGTTCATAGAATTAGAATGTTTTTAATTTGATTAGAGTTTTTGTCTTGTCTGGATGGATCTATTGAAGTTTGGTCTGGTTTAGTATTAATTGATCTTGTCTTATGGAATAGTTTTATGTTTTATGGTTGAGTCCAAGTTGTTTAAATTTGTTCTTCTCTGATGTAGGACAGAAAGTTGAAATGAATCCAATTAAAAACATTGTTAAAGTACAGGCCAACGCACGAATCTGTAATTTTACAATTAAATAATAATACATATTAAATTTTAGAAACACACAATATACGAATTATAGAAAACTTTTTTGTAAACCAACAAATCCGGCTCACTGGGTGGAAGATTATCGTGTCTTAGCGGAGGTCTCAGGTTCGAATCCGGCTAGGCACATTTAGGGGAGAGGAGGGAGGTCTTGCTCCCAATGATTCTTTCTACTTTCACCGAGTTGCTCAGCGGTTGAGAAGATAGATGATGGTAATGAAGGTAGCGGGTTCGTATCTTGGGAGGAACAATCAGAGAGATGATGTAAATCCTGTTGGATTCATCTTTTGTAGCCGGTACTGACGAGGCTGATTGTGATCAGATCCGGATTAATTATCTAGTTTCTTTGAAGAATAGTTCATAGACTCCAGGATTATGGGAGCATAAACCCTTGGATTATCAAAACTTTTCGGTAGAGAACGTTTTGTTGTCTTTTTTACTTATTCATCATGCACTCCGTAACATAGTGTTTTTGTTTTTAGTCCATCAATCATAACAATGATTTGACAACGAGAAATTGTCTTTAAAAAAGTAACTTTAGTTTCTAGGGACATCTGGACTCAATTTTGAAACGTTAATGACTAGTTTTAAATTATTTTAACTCCAACAATGGTCCCCAAAAGGTTATAAATGATGATGAATTTAAAGGTTTTAGTAGCGCTATGCTACCCACTACTCAGATTAATTTTTGTATAGAGAAAAGGGTGAGATAGAGCCTCAAAATTACAAAAAATATCAAAGAAGGCCTTATATAGGAGGTTCTGTCCGGCCGACGTCATTTGAGGCGATTCCAATTTTTTGATGAAATTTTGTGAACATCTTATTCACTAAATCTAGTTTACTCATACCAAATTTCAGGTAAAACTTCAATTGGTAAGACATTCAAATAAATTTTTGAAGATAATTGCGCTTTTAATTGAGCACTTATCTTCAAGAATTTATTTGAATGCCTCCCGGATTGAAGTTTTAGCTGAAAATTGGTATGAGTAAACTAGACTTAATGAATAAGATGCTCAAAAAAGTTTCATTGAAAAAATCCACTGGGAACCACCCTCAATGGCGTCGCCCGGACAGAACTTCCTATATAAGGTCTTATTTGACATTTCTTTGTAAGTTGGAGGCCCTACGGACCCTTTTCCCTTTTGTATAAGTGCTGGAGTTAGAAATTGATTATTACAAGGATGAAAGATAAAAAAGTAAATATACATACACCGTACTACGTATATGACATATATAGTTGTTGGAACGAACAACATATTTAAACCTTAGCTTACCAAAAAAAACATACGGAGTATTTAAACCTTATACTCCATCGAGTTCCTAAAAGTTTTAACAAATTTATTTTATATTTTAATCAATGACAATAAACTTTGACCAATGATATATTTTAATACGAAATTATTTAGAATATGAAAATTATATCAAAATATTCTTTATTGAAAATATTTTCATTAAATGATGAAATTTATAAATTATATACAACTATAATAACTAAAATCATTGTTTAAAGTTTGACATCATTGTCAAAAAAAGTCGATTTGGTAAAACTTTTCGGGACGGACGTAGTATTATTTACACAATATTGCAATAGAAATAAGTAATAAGAGTCTCAATAATGTTTTTATTTGAATTATTTTCAATCAAGTCAGACCAGACTAAACTATACTTAAACAAATCACATATTTTAATCAAAAGTCAATACTTTTGTTCCAAAATAGTCATTGTTTTAGTATTCCAATACACATATTTTGTACTAATATCTCAAATTTCCCATTATCGGCATTTCCTATAATGGATATTTTTGTCCATTGAGCATAAATGCGATGCATTCATCGTTAATCTTGTAGAAGGGCGGATACACTCATACACAAGTCCGTTTCCAATGTTATCAGTATTTAAATTCTTTGAAATGTCAATTTAGAAAGAACAAGGAATTGAACATACAACTATACAAGATGATCAACACGATTAGATATCGGATCGGTTCGGTTCATAGGCAAAATAAATAGAAATGTTTGAAAAATATCAAATCTTATTAACGTTTCGGTTCTTATAAAATTTTTATAGAACCGATATGGAACTGAACCATTCTTAACAGTTCGGTTCTTGTTATTTAACGATTCCTAATTTTAACAAAAATTCTTACAAATCACCATTAAGGCATTAAATTTGTCCCAAAAACATTCAACTTTTGAAATTACATGAAACATAAATAGGTTTACCATCATTTCAGACATCAAAAGTTGAGTTTAAAACATTAATACTTACCAAACTGAAAATTTCAGTAAATAAAACAAAACAATATATTCACTACAATCAATAATTATGATTTTGAACCAACAATGTAATTAGCCAGCAAAAAAGCTCATTCATATTAATTAAGGATCACGAACAATGCACTCAATTCAGACAATCTAAACCTCTCATAAGAGGCCCAAGAATCTTATAGGAACCCGTTAAAATAAATAGGCTAAAAGGTCAAATAGGTACATGAACTAACTTAAAGTGTTCAATTAGCCCCTTATTTAGGAGGTTCTGTCCGGCTGTCGCCAATTGGGACGGTTCCCGATGGAATTTTTTGATGAAATTTTTTGAGCATCTTCTTCATTAAGTCTAGTTTACCCATATCAAATTTCAGCTAAAAATTAAATCGGGAAGGCAGTCAAATGATTTTTCGAAATGTACTGCGATGTTTAACTACGTAGTTATCTTCAAAAAATCATTTGACTGCTTTCCCGGTTGAATTTTGAGCTGAAATTTGGTATGAGTAAACTAGACTTAATGAAGAAGATGCTCAAAAATTAATCAAAAAATTCCACCGGGAACCGCCCCAATTGGAGACGAACGAGCAAAACCTCCTATATAAGAGGCTAATTGAACATTTTAAATTAGTTCATGTACCTATTTGACCCTTTGGCCAAATAAATATTAATGTTACATACCTAACTAAATAAACTAAAATAGTCAGTGTAATATAAAAATAAATAACTAAATACTCCGTGTAGATTAACATATACAACTACTCCGTATATAATAAGGCTATTTCGATCACGTCCCGCCCGTTCTCCACCTTCTCTGGATCCATTATACTTAATTGGCAGCTAGCTAGCTACCAAATACCAATCTATGGCTTCAGCTACGTTTACAATTTCATGCGCCGCCGCCGCCATCCCCGCCTCCCAACTTCAAAAACCTTCAAAGTTCTTACTTAACCAAAACCCGCCCAAGCACCGCCGCAGCAAACTCTCATGTGCTGCTTCCTCCGCAAAAGATCAAAACCCGGCGCCGGAAAAGAACACCTCTCCGGACACCACACTTGATCGGAGAAATGTCCTCTTAGGTCTTAGCGGCCTCTACGGCGCCTACAACCTATCCCTCTCCGGTGACGGCGCCCTGGCTAGTCCGGTGCCGGCCCCGGACATTACCAAGTGCGGCACGGCAACCATTACCTCGAGCACCGATAAAGTGCCCTATTCTTGTTGCCCACCGGCCTTCTCCGGCACCATAGCTAACTACAAGCTCCCGCAGTTCACCAAGGTGAACGTCCGGCCGGCCGCCCACGACATAGACGAGGAGTACTTGGAGAAGTACAAGACAGCCATTCGGAAAATGAAAGAACTCCCGGAAGATGATCCCCGGAATTTTTACCAGCAAGCCAACGTCCACTGCGCTTACTGCAACGGCGCTTATAAACTTGCCGGCGGTGAGGAATATCAAGTCCACTTCTCATGGCTATTCTTCCCATTCCATAGATGGTATGTTTACCTGTATCTTCATTTAAAGCTTATGGTCATACGATAAAGAAAGGGGATAATACAAATGTTTTGACTTTTCACAAGTGAACAATGGAACGGAGGTTATTAATGGTCAAGTAATGAATTAAGAATAATAAAACAATAACACCCGAACTTTATTCTCAATAGAATTTGAATGGATCGGTATAACGGATTACGAATAATTACGAAAATTTAAAAATTCAAAATATAGCATTATTTTTCGAAAAAAATACTTCGTAATTATGATATAATCCCTAAAGGGAAAGTTGTAAATGCACACTTTAATTTTTCGGGTTGGTGCAAGTGGAAATCGATCTGCCAATTTTTGGAAGGGTCAAAATACTTCAATGTTCCTTGATTAGTTTTTATTAATTTTATATAAATACAAATACAGGTACAAATTAAAAAAAAAACAAAAATAATTCAAAATATATTGGGTTCACAAAATGGAAATTTGAAAAATGGAAAATTTATTTTTCCTAAAATAGTGTAGTATATAAGAAAAGGTGTTATGAATCCGGATTAAAAAAATTATATTAAAAGCTTTATATTTTAACTTTATATTACAAAATAATTATTTTTTTACTTTTTAAAAGTATTTCAAATATATACTCCCTCCTTCCCGTAGATAGGTTCATACACGGTTTACAATGTTTGACTGACCATAAAATAAAATGTACGTCATGTAGCAATCTTTTATTTAACCCTTTTTGCGGAATTTTGAACATTTTGTTACAATTTTTTTAAATAACCTTTTCACTATCTTTATTCTTGTATTGGGGTTTGACGTGAATATTACTAAAAATTAAACAATGGATAAAAAATAGACCTTATTTCTTAAATTTCAAAAATGTGACTAACAAGCAAATTCTTTACTAATTAGCCCTTCCTATCTTCACTTTTCAGTACCAACGCCATATCAATCATACCCCTATACTATCAAAAATATACTCTTACCCCTCTCTCTTTCCTTTAATGATGGTCAAATAACTTTTAATCTACATTTAGAGAAAATTATAGATATAATTTATAATTTTTTTATGTGTTCGCTTTTAATACTGTAATTTTATTCAATCACAAATTTGATCGGGTAATTAATAAATTTGTCCATAATAAAGACCTTTCTATCGGAAATCGGACCAAATAAATAAATGACTAAAACTGACCTCACTCTAGGTAGTTCGTTTTATGCCTTTGAATTTGTAAAGTGAGTAAATTTACTCAATTTAAAATGATCAAAATATGCTAAATTTGACAAAAATTGAAAAAAATAATCAACTTATATGAACCAATCCGACTCAAAAAATGAAGTTTACTACTCGATTTTACCATTAAAAATTGAATGCAATAAAATTCGGAATTTGCACTTTATATGCTCTATGTTATCACTGTAAATGATCATTATATAAAAGTATAATAATAACTTGTAAATTAATATTTGACAAAATATGAACATGTTTACATGTAAAATACTGGTAAAGACATTCTAGTTTAGGATGGGTTCCACGCCCAAACTTGTTAGTGCTAAATAATTAGGACGTCCCATGACTTTACTTTTGGTTCCAATCCCCTAATTGGTCTAGGTTCGCTCCCAATAATTTAAATATTTTTAACTACCTATTTTTCAACTTTTTAATGGACTATAACTATAACCCATGGGCTCCAATCCTAGTCCTAAAAAGTGAGAGGCCTGAGGCCTCTTTTTCACCGGTTCGGTCTCGGTCCCGACCTAAAATCTTAATTCAAAAATCAACCATTCCCGAGAGTGGACTTTGTCCTCCCCTAATATGAACCACAAAAGTAAGGTTCTGTTTACTAACAGAGATATTTTCTAGATTTTTAGAAAACTGGAAAACTAAAAAATGGAAAACAGAAAACGTGTTTACCAAAGAAAATTACTATAAAACTGGAGAATAGAAAACAGAAAACTGCGTTTACCAAATCGTTTTCAAAAACGAAAAAAATGAGATGTCTCTCTTCTCCTTAATGAATTGGAGAAGTGACTTTTACTAGTTTTCCGAATTTGGAAAATGCGGATGTTGCAGTGCCACTGCAATGAATTTGCATACTTGCACCTAGTGGTGCATCCGGTCCCGCTCCGGTGTCAGTATCAATCCGGTCAATGACCCGACGATCTGATTTGGTCATTGACCCAGCGGTCCCTGTCTACTCTGGTCGACGGTCGAGCAATCCCGGTCCAACCCGTTCGATAACCCGACGGTCCCGGTCCGGTTTTGATCGACGACTCGACGGTCTCTGTTCGGTCCGGTCCGGTCCACGACCCGGTGATCCCTGTGTAGTCCGGTCCATGACCCAACTGTCCGGTCCGATCCACGACCCGGCGGTCCCTGTCTGTTCCGATCGATCACCTTAGGGTCCCTGTCGATTCGATGGATGACTTAACGATCCCTATCCGGCCCGATCCACGATCAAGCGATACCTGTTCAGTCCATTAACGGGCGGGTAGTCCCGGTCTTATCCAGTATGCTCAATGACTCGACGGTACTCGTTTGGTTCGGTCATTGACCCGACGGTCCCTACCTTGTCCGGTCACAACCCCGATGGTCCGATCCGGTCATTGACCCGATGGTCCCTCGTCCAATCTGGTCCACGATCCCACGACCCCTTTCAGTCCGGTACACGACCCTACGGTCCCTATGTTTTCCGATTGATGACCCAACCGTCACTGTCCTGTCCGATAGATGACTCGACTTCCCTGTCCGGTCCGATCCATGACTAAGCGGTCCCCGGCCAGTTCGTCAACGACCCAGCGATCCCTGTCTGGACTGACCAATGACCCGCCGTTTCAGTCTCGATTACTTGAAATCACTTTTTAAAGTGAAGAGTTTTAAAAGAGCTGTTAATATGTCGATCAACCAATAGGGAAATGGGAAAAGAATTCGTCAAACTAACCATTGAGATCGGCCGGGCCCGGCCGGTTTCAGTCTTGGCTTTCCTATACATGGGACCTGGTACCCTACTTGGGTTGTACTAGGTTTGATTTCGGAATGGGACCGTACTTTCAGTCTTCTGGAACCGAGTGAAAATTTTTGATGAACATGTTTTTAGATTTGAAAATGGAAAACTAAAAAAATGAAAACAGAAAATTGGAAATAGAAAAATTGGAAAATGAAAACAGAAAATTGGAGAACGCAAAACAAAAATAGAAAACTGGAAAATATCTCTGTTAGTAAACAGGCCCTAAGTATTTCCAATACAAATTTACAATAGATAACAATAGTCTCCTAAAAGTCCTTCACCAACATCTGTTTTAGGTATAAAATAATATTCCTCGTTATTGAGCATCTTTCCTTCATTACAAAAGTTTCACCAAGATTTCTACAATCTCAGATATATTTTCGAATTTTTAAAAGTAATAGACATTTATTGTTTTAAGCTCGTACCTTTCGATTGTGGTTGCTACAAGTCCTAAAATTTTACTCATATGTAGATGTAGTTATGTACCAAATAAATTTGTCAATAATAAGGGCTATTTCCTCGGAAAGTACGTGTTCCCACAAAAAAGTACTTTCTGGTGGAAAGATTCTTAATACAGGTAAATTTATTAATTATCAGATTAAATTTGCAAGCAAGTAAATTTATAAAACTAAATTTATACTTTTGCTAAACGTAATTAGGAGTTATTACATTTTCATTAAAGGATAGGGAGGGGGTAAACGTGTAATCTTAATAGTGCAGGGTCTATGTGATAATATGTGAAACCTCGAGGGAGGTCAATGATAATTTCCTTTATTTCAATGCACTGCACAAGTGCATAAGAACTAATGTTTTTACTTTAATATTATTTCTCAAGATAAATAGAAGGATATGCAAATTCTGCAACAAATGTTGTAGTGACCAACACTTCAGTTACTGTTGTTTCAGTGACTATCGTCAAAGTTACTACTACTATTAGAATGACTACCGTCCCATTACTATTACCGCCTCAATGACATCGTCTCAGTTATTACTGCTCCAGTGATCACCGTTCCAATTACTACAACTACAGTGACCAGCGTTCCAGTTACTACAACTATAGTGACCACCGTCCCAGTTACTACCGCTCTAGTGACAACCGTCCCAATTACAATCGCTATAGTGACTATCGTCTGTCATAGTGACCACACATTTCTAGTGACCTAGTTGTTCGGGAAACCATCACTCAATTACTAAATTACCCTTAATGATTTTAGATGACGTCGCATGGCATACTCAAGTGACCCAATCCGACTAGTTACAGTTATACGACCCGACCAGTTATATTTACTTGATTTGACCCATTACAGTTATTAAACCCAATCAGGTATAGCGATCACCTTACTCGACCTATTAGAGTTACCTGATTTGATCAGTTACAATTAATAGAGCCGACCCATTATACTTAGATGACCCGACCAATTACATTCAACCGACCTGACTAGTTAAAGTTACTAGAATTAACCGGTTACAATTATCTGATACAACGTACCATTTACATTTACTCGAAACGATCAGATCAATTACCGTTACTGACCCCATTATTACAAGGTCCGATAGTGACCACCGCCGGTCACCACCGCCCCGCCCCCGACTTGACTCCCCAACCCCCAACCTACCTACCTACCCAGATCCCTGCCTAACCTCCAGCCACCTCCCAGCTCCCAGGCGACCTCCCCAGCCCCCTCCTACTCGCCCAAACCCTACACTCGCCCCCTCCCTCTCACATCGAAGCTCTCTTGAGTCCTCACTCCTTATAGCCTCTCAACCTCTCAGACCCATCCATAGCCCTCCCAAGACAGAAAACTTAGTTCCACAATCGAAACAGTACATCGCCTTCGATGTCTGCAAACAATAGTCACCGGCTTCTAGACAATCGTTCACCCTCAACATCATTGGATGAGAAGAAAAAAGAATGAGAAGAATGAGAAGCTCAACTACGGTGACGGTGAAGGTGAGCAGCGACGGGATCGAAGCAGGCCGGAGAAGGACTGTTGAGTGGC